AGCTTGGCAAATTTGCTATATAATTATATAAATTTGCTAATTTATAGTATAAGTAAAAATTTCATACACATCAATAAAATCAGTAAATGAGAAGACCTTTTGACAAAAAGATAGAACACGTGTGTTTTAGTCCCGGAGTGTAATTATAGCAGCATGAATCGTTGGATTGTATGTAAGAGATAAGTAAATTAAAGATGATACCGAGAAAATTCTACTTTCAAACATTCACGATTTCAAAAACTGCGACGTCCCAGCCAAAGTGCGATATTGTTTGAATATGTTCAACCCAATATTAATAAAATTTAGATTATTCTTTTTATAATTCATTTAATAATCAACTAATATATTAAACTAGTACTTTTAATATTAAAAAATTTAATAACACTAACATTAAAGTGTTAACATTAAAAGTTAACCCATGTTTTCTAATTTATATTTTAATATTGAAAATGTTAATTATTATTTTAATTACTTATTTTAATTGTTGTGCAATAGAGAACATATTTTTTACGATATATATTTTTAATATCAGGGACAAGTAAATAATTGAAAGTAGATCATAATATACAGAGCAAACAGAAAATTAAGAAAGTCATGAACGCTGCAAGACTATGTCATTTGAAAAGGCTGAAGCTCTCGGAGCCTCTCGGAAGCGTAAACATGCCACGAAGGCGAGAACGGGGGAAAGAGCAGAGTGTTTAATTGCATGTGTGCCGAGAGAGGCACCGAGGAGGAGGACCTTGTGATTCTTCTCTCCCTCTTCCTCTCCCTCGCTCTCTCTCCTCTCTTCCGCGCATAATGATAAACAGCAGCCGCGTGCTCTCTGCAGCGATTATGCAACGCGCTTGGCCTTCCCGTGTACCGATTGTAAATTAGACCGCATCATAAATAAATAAATAGTGCTGGGGCGCGAGCGGCATCGCCAATGGTATCGATCATCGACGGGCCGGGCTCGCGGTGAGATCAGGCGTGAATTAATTATGTACCGCGCAATTAATATATCAGATTGCGATAGCGCGCAGCGCAAATATTTGCGGGTAACGACATCGCCGTGAGAATCGCGACGCCTCTTCCGGAAATAATGCGCCCGCTCGATTTGCACGCCCGATAACGATTCGCGGCGGCGAGTTGTTCATTGATAAATCACTTGGCGCGTCAATGATATTTATTTTTCGGATTTGCATGGTCGCGAGATTTTTATTCGCAAAACAGACAGACGCTTAGACGAGAAAAAAAACTGACTGATGGCCGATATCGAGCGTGCTAATCTCGAGGAATCTGTACGAGGGATATTACTCGTTCGCAAGTTTATATTTGCCCAAAAGGTCACGGATTTCTCATCGATTAACGATTAAATGATCAGTTGAGCGGTTGACATTTTTCATGGTTACGCGAAAAGGGTAAATCTCGGGTTGGCGAACATTTATTATTCGGTTCAATCTGGAGATAATTAATATGATGTCGTATGAATTGTTGCCGCTTGTTTTATTAACCTGTCATCTGGGATAAAATTCTGAGTCATCGATCTAACAATCGTAAATAAAATTCGTCTATATATTATTGAACATTATGTTTACAAAAATAATTATAAATTCATGCATTTTTGTATTTACAACAATTTTAATTACGTTTATACGTAAAGTAATCCAAATACATTGTACAGATTCGTAAATATTATATACATTCCACAAAATTAATTGACCAAAAAATTATTGATTATGCATTGTGACGTCGTCGGTCATTAAGTGCGCAGTGCTGTGTACTTGTGACCGTTAAAAGAATCACGAATAAATTGCAATTCTTTCTTTCATCAATTATTTTCGCATTGGGCGAGTGCGGAAGGCCGCTGCAGCAGCAGCCAGAAGGAAGCTTGAGAGCGCGCTGAGAGATGATAAAGACGCCGTCACGTCAAATCCGTCGCATCGGCAGCCGCATCAGCTGTTCCACGACCTCCTTTCGTCCACGGCGGCCCTCGGATGAGATTCGTCTAACGCGCTAAGTATAGCCGTCGTTGCTGCAATCCCCGCGTACGCATCGTCATGCGTACCAGATCCGATCGAGATGACAATCCCGCCTTGGCGTGACGCGCGAGCGGGTGACAGCGAGACACGAGAGAACGAAAAACGGAGCCGGTCGCACATTAAAAGCAGATTAAAAGCGAGGACGGCTCGCATGAGAGTTCGCATCGTGTCGCGCATGCAATCCGTCTGCTAAATAATAAATAATCGCGACGGTAATTAAAACATTTACGATTCTCGTTAACGAAGGCGGTTAAGGATGGCGTTTGACGAACGACGCGACGACGCGAGAAATACGTGCGCGTATTCGGACTTCAGTTGACTTGCATAACGCGCTTTTGACACGACCCCGTCGTCACGACTCTCGTTTCAAAATGTTGGAAACAATCGCGCGCTTTCAATGACGACTTCGTTACATAAAGCGGTGACAAAGCAGTACATTTATTAATCCACGTGTTTCCGACGTACTTTCCTGACGGTCGATGAGTTTTTTTTTCGCATAACTGTTTTTACTACACTGATAATTAATCCGTAATATTTTACTCTGGTATACAAGAAGAGTGATGTAAGCAGAAATTAAAACCGATATCAACGATTTTATTTCACGACATTCTAATAAATAAACGAGTGGATATCGTTTTCCGCAGCATCGAAAATCTTTGAATTGAACGAAATTATATTGGTTTCAATCGCGGCTCTTGGCTTTCCGATTGCGGGCTACGTGTTCACCGAGCGAACGAAACACCGTGGTCCAGCCACGAACGGAGTGGTGGACATTAATCGGAAGGTGTTTACCGTCGAATCATTCAAGCATTTCGCGATCGATCGCTCGTAAAACGCCTGAGTCGCTGCAACAAGCGACCAGAATGTCGATATAATTCCACCTGATGAGAAAGAGACCTTTACGTACCGCCTTCATGTTTTTCGAAAGAGAATGCGCGCATACGAGAGAGAAGAGTAGAAGAGAGAAAGAGTAAGGAAGAATGAATGGAAGAGTTGTTTGGAGTTATAGGAGAAAGGCGCGAGAAAGGAAAAGTTAGACTGAAATAATGAACGGTCCGTTGTTTCACGAGCGCTCAAAGATAACGCGCAAATTCATACCACAATTCAGTATAGACATTTTCATTTTTAATTCTGTCTCTCTCTCTCTTTCCCTTTCATATACCCAAATTGTCATATTCCAATAATCTAAAATGTTGAAAACCCACATTTAGTTTTAGTAACAAAGTACGCGTATATATATGGAATCTCTCGTGATTTGTATCTTGTAATTTTAACAAAAGTTTTTCCAAAATACAATATTACATCCGAGAACAGCGGATAATTAATAAAAAGACGAAATTCCACTATACAAGAAATACAGCAATATATAATTACAAATCAATGTAAGAGAAGAAAAGTAAATCGAGATCGAGGAGCGGCATCAAAAAGAACATTTAAAGCGTCGTAATAGTGAGACAAAAAAAGAGATGAAGAAAAGGAAACGTGGAGGACGTAGGAGGAGCATCACTTCACCAATGAATTGGAAGAAAAAAAAAGTAGAAAATGAAAAGGATGGAAGAAACGAGGGCGGAGAGAATTGTAAAAGCATGGACACCTTCACCAATGATGGTCTAGGGAAAAGAAAAAAATATCTGAAAGCAAAGACCGAAGAAACGAAAGAGGGCGGAGTGGAAATCATATAAATGCAGAAAGAGGGGGAGAAAGGTACGAAAGACGATGCAACGGAATGGATACAACGGAAGAAACGAGAATGTCAGCAGGTAGTGAAGGGTACAGAAAGACCAGAGGAACTAGGAAGAAGCTAATAGCAGATCACTGCGGCACTCGCTCCATTCTTATATATTTTACGCGCGCGCAGGCGTGAATGCCTTGTACTTGTATTACACCATTGCAACGACAAGGAGTGCTTCTATTCTGTCGCGTATGAATGACGAGGATGGGAAACCGTGCATAGAGCCTGAGCTGGTGTGCGTCTTCGCGTACACGCTAGAGCAGTACTGAGAGAAAGATAAAGGAGGGGAGCGGAGGAGGGAGTGAGAGAGCGAGGAGCTGTAGGAGGGAGACAGGGCGCGAGAAGGGACAGAAGGATAGGGGTGAGAAAGAAAGAGAGAGACAAGAAGACGGCGCGGGAGAATCGTGCTCCAATAAAACGGACGGAGACCGGAGAGTGTGCTCTTATCGCCTTGTGCATGTGCACTGGCGGAACATGTAAACCACCGCGCGTATAAGCGAAGACGTGCAACATACACGCGAAAACCTATACACATGCGTGATCGCTCGTATGTTACACAAAGAGATAGATAGATAGAGAGAGATAGAGAGAGAAAGAGCGACACCTCACCAATAAGACCTAGGCAAGAGAGCTATTTGTAATGCAATAGTGAGAGCACTAGTGGGGAAAGAAAGAGTGGAGGAAGGTAGTGGTAGGTGGTAGGTGGAGTACCTCCTGGTGGGGGAGAAAGAGCAAGAAAGGGAAAACGGGAGATAGACGCGTAAAGAGAGAGAAAGAGAGACGGAGAGATGAAGAGAGGAGAGGTGGAGCAAAAGGGTGTGCGAGCGAGAGAGAGACAGAGGAAAGGTGCCACTCAACGTGGAACCAATACCACGATCGCTTTACAAATAAACTCACGGACTCGCAAAACCTCTTCCTCGGTGCAGAATATAACGTCAGGATGGCAGAGAGAAACGCGCTTTTCGGACCCTCAACCCCTTCTGGGCCCCGTAAATCTACGGGGCCCACCTGGCCTCTTCTATGCCACTACCACCCGCCACTATTACGGCTACTGCCGGCTATCACCATCACCGTCACCATGACCACCACTACCGCCGCTGATCGCCGTCGTAGTGGTACTCATTCGACGCGTAACGTATAGCCGGCTGCCACTACTACTAATGTGAAGCAACCACCACCACCGCCGCCACCTCCTGCCGTCCGGCTCTACCTCTCTTCGCGCTTACCTAGGACAGAGAAAGAGCGAGCGCGAGCGAGAGGGAGAGTGAGAGCGGGAGAGTGAGAGAGAGAAAGAGAGAGGTAGAGAGTAGAGTGAGAGAGGGTCCCGGCTTTGCGCAAAAGTTACGACGGAGCGAGGAGCAGTGAGACACATCACGGAGACCGGAAGAGAACCCTCTCTCCCTGAAGAAGTCCTCCGATGTAAAGAAAGAGAAAGAGAGAGAGAGAGGGGGAATAAAAGAGAGAGAGAGAGAGAGAGAGAGAGACAGAGAATAAAACAAGGAGAAAGAGCGGGAGAGAAAGATAGACAGGCAAGAAGAGAGAGGGAGAGAAAGAGAGAGATAGCGAACACGCGCGAAAAACATACGTCGACTCCAATCGAGAGTGTCACCGCTTGTGTGCGCGCGGGAGTGCGATACGGACCATCACGAGGAAAACTGACAACGACGTCAAGTGTCCTCTTCGCTGTTCGCCGCGTGTTCACACCGCGAATACACGTGGTAACGACATAGTCCTCCCACTTCCGGATATCCTACGGAAGTGCACCAATTCGATTGGATCTCTTACTAGTTACCTGAAGCCTGAAGTGATCTCGTTGCAAATTACATAGTTACAAATCGATGTGTTATTACCTGCGACCAACCTTTGCGAATGACAAATTTGAAAGACAACAGATACATCCCCTGCTGTGACACATATTATCATCGTATTTTCGATCATTGAAACGTGTTTCTTGGTGCAGACATAAGATGAAATAGAAATGTCAAGGAAATATCTCCGAAAGATTTAACTGCTCCAGTCTACTGAGAAATTTGTTTCTTTGAAAGCTTTGCTGGTCCTATACGATTGCTGCTGATTGTTAGCGGAAAGAGATATAAGGAAGTGAAGGAGTTGAAAGAAAGTGAATAAGGAAAAAAAGGAGAAGAAAAAAGGGAAGAAGAAAAAAACAAATAGAAAAAAAAGAAGAAACGAAGAGAAGAAGAAGCCTCGAAGCTGAGACCAGAACTCGTTGCACGTTCGCCGCTTACGTACCAGCAAGAGCGGGCCGTGTTGTGTAAGAGCTGAAAGTAAAAGTTGAAACCGTCGACTTCAACTCACGGGAGCGCGTACCGCGCGCGCTAAAATCCGATCCTGCCTCCCGTAGGCTGGGTATCGCCGAATATCTCTTGCTTCTCTCTCTCTGCCCGTCTTTCTCCGGCGACTTTCTCATTTCGTTCTTCCTCCTGGAGAGAGAGAGAGAGAGAGAAAGAGAGAGAGAGAGAGAGAGAGAGAAAGAAAGAGAGAGACAGAGACAGTGAGAGCGTGCCTGCGTGTATTCGTGCGTGCGTCCGGATTCGCATGATCGCGAATTCCCCTCCGGCGCCCTTGACGAGAAGCATCGCCGATGTGGAGGATCTACGCGTCCCAGAGAAGCCGAAGAGGGCGTACTAGGGAAAGAACAAGAGAAGAGAAGAGGGACGGTGCTTCGTTCATTGCGTAACGACGTTTTCTAGTCCGCTGCTTCGCGAAATACACTCGCGCGTGGTATTTCGTTCGCACGCTCGCGTTCGCGGAGGTGTGTATATCGGGCGCGTGTGCGGAGGTATCCCGAAGTTTTCGATCGTCGGGGGTGGTCCGGGGTCGAAAACGCGTGTCGCTGAGCCACGGTCGCGAGTGACACGGCGCTGACAGCGAAAACGAACGATGGAAAGTGATTGGTCCCGCGCGTTTCACTCCGTCCTGCAGCGCGAAACGCGAATGTTCAAGGTCACAGTCGCTGGTATCCCACCGGTAATTCGTTTCCGGAATTGCTAGAGAGTGGTCTTCGTTGTCGTCGTTGTCGTCGTCGCCGTCATCGTCGTCATCATCAACATTATTATCATTATCAACGAGCGGCATCCCGGTAGCACCACCGTGGAAGGACTCGACGTGCGGTATTCGCGTGCGAATTTAACCTGTCTCTCTCTCTCTCTCTCCCTCAGTTCACGATCGACAGCGCGCTCGCTTTTACCTCGCCGCCTCGTCCGGGCGCAAGAAGTTTCGCAAAAGGGATTACAACACGCAGAAGAGAAAGGAGACAGACAGACAGACGGAAAGGGAGACGCGGAAGGGAAAAGGACAGCGAAGAAAGAGAGAGAGACAGTCCGAGACGGAGAGGGAGAAAAGGAGAAGGAGGAGAAGGAGGAGGAGGAGGAGGAGGAGAGGAACAGACCGCGATACGACAACCGTGTGCGCGAAAACCGCAGGAGGAGGACGCGGATTTCTCGCGCGGAGGACAGGAGTCCTCGCGACCGTCGCGTGGTTCGACGACGAGGACGAGGAAGACGTCGAGCGAGCCTTACCTCGGCTCGCTCTCTCGGAACGACGAGAAAGAGGCGGAGGGCAGACCGCGGTAGCGAAGGACGGGTCTGAAAGACGATCCGGATGTGGCGAGATCCACTCGCTTTCCGCTCTCCCGCTCTCCTGTCGATCGTTCACGGTGCGTCGCGCCGCACGACGACGTTGAATTCGCGTTGAAAGCGGCGCGAGAGAAATTTGGTAATCCGCGATAAAGGAGCAAACACTGAAATACAGGGGAAAACGCCGCAGCGACGTTCGCCGGGGACACACGCGGCCGAGCGGAATTAAAAGTGCGTTTAAAAAGGTTAGCGGGATAAAAAAGGCGCGCGCGCGAAAGGATAAGAGAAAGGAATAGGAGCCACCTCCGAGTCCTTGAGAGTACGGGTAAAAGTGCCGCGCGCAGAGCCAGCCGGTTGACCCTGGGCAGTCAACGGGGCAGACCCCGTTGGAGAAAAAAAAAGTTCTCCGTCATCGTCGTCGTCGTCGTCGCCCTTAATCGTCGTCGCGGACGTCGTCAAGGATCGTTCCGTTCCGGGCTGACGAATCTCTCTCTCTCCACGACGAATCTCCTCGCGTTGAGTTTTAGGTGATCTAAATAGAGGAAGCGGGTTGTACCGGTAGTGTGCGTGTACACTTGTGTTGCGTTGCGTGCGTGCGTGCGTGCGTGCGTGCGTGCGCGCGAGACAAAACCACGTGTGTGACATCGCGCGAGCGGGCGCGAGCAGAAGAGCAGCGAGACGAAACGCAATGACGAGGAGGATCGTGAAGAACGGCTGATTGCGAACGACGTCCACGAAGACGGTGTTGGATCCTCCTCACTCTTGACCGACCGACGGCGCCGAGATTTTCGTCCGTTTTCCGTTATGTGCGTTGGAGACCATGTGCAGCAGTCGCGCGCGTTAAGAACGCGTCCGCGAGTGTAAAGTGATAACGAAGTGCCGGATATAATACCACCGAGCGTGGTCGCCGCGAGCGTGCTCCTCGTGCACGTTTCTCTCGTTCGTCGTTACCGCTACTGATCTGTTTCACTCAGTGCCCAGTGGTGGTGATCCATACCGCGAAATATCAATGTACGTCACGTGCCCGCAGCGTCGTCCACGTCGCCGATGTCACGGGATCACGGCTCGTCGTCGCCGGCTCGCGAAGAGAATGTTTTTCACATGACTCGACGAGGTAATCCCGTGGGATTTATACTACATCGCATTGCTCATCCTGGATACCGCCACCGATCGCACGTCGGACAGCGAGCGCAGTAGTAGAAAAAGCATAAGGTGAGAAAAATGAGGACGGTTTATGTTGTAAAATTTACGGATACGATTTCGACTCCGATTATGTAATGCTCCCTCTCCCCGGGAATCTCTGCTTTTGCGGAAATCGAAACGGCGCGCGGCGCGGCGTCAGCTGGCGGAGCCTCTCTCGTCGGGTTAATTGCGCGATCGCTCGCCTATCGCCTTGATCGCGAGCCCGGTAAATCGGTAGTCTGTTGCAAAAGGCGATTTAAAAGATTGACACGTTCATTGCCACACGGCATCGCACGACACGTTCGGTTCTCACGCCAGTGATATATTCTGCGTTTATACTGGCGAACTTGGCGTAAATAATCGACAGGTGCTATAAACGCTTGCCGATAAGCTCCAGATAAAAAGCCCATAAGTTTGTTTTTCACGCCACGTGTTTATGTTCCGTTGACTAATTGCGACAACGTATAATTGTATTAATTTTATCACACGTCTGCGATTCGAATGGTTTAGAACATGTCGCCTCGCTATGTGAAGATCTAAAAACAAATGCTCCGATTGTGCTCCGATTTCTTCACGCGAATACAAAAGTTTCCGAGCCGATTGTTCTGTATATAATTGCTGATTCATAATATTCCAATAGTATATACATCAGTATAGGGACGAATTGAACGAGGTAAAAAAGGAGACGTGTATAGTTATAAGAATAAATCACGCTGCGATATTGCGAGTTAAAACGACTTTGACTCGATCCTCCTGTTATCGTTCCATATTTCGAGTGGAGTTGTTCTCTCGCGGTGTTAGTTCTCGGCGTGCTTAAGCGAGGGTTAAGGATGATCGATGATGTAATGTTGACACAAGCGTTGGAAAATGTTTGCAGTCACTTTTACGGATATGATATGATAAAGTGAAAAGATACAGGTATTGATCTGTGACGGCGATCGGCGCTAATCGACCGAGAAGACGATGCGATTCTTACATGGCGTGTCTATAAAATATCTTTTGACGTTTTACATTATTAATGGACACAGTTTTTCGTTCGTGCATTTAGACACACGTGGTGCCACCTGATGCCGATTTTTCCACTTCGTTGTCAGGGCTCGTGCCATTTTGTATCTAAACGAAACGGTGAAACAGCGATAATGAGGCAATTGTCGCGATTGTCGACTGACATTCCATGCGATTGGATGCAAAAGGCGGTGCAAATTAATGCGGCGACATAATTGGCAGTAAAAACGACGGCCAACGTGTAATGTGACAGATAGATAGATCGCGGCGAGAACAGAGCTGACAATGAGAAATTATGACCGGCGGGACCACGAAATGATATAGTTATTGTCATCTAAAAAAAACTGTTCCAGTTTCCGTTTGAGAGATCACGCTAAATTATGTAACGCATAGGCGTATGTAAACTAAACTCATTAAACGATAACTATGCTAAGCTGACAAAGCGCGATTCTTTATTGCTTATTATGTTGATATCCATCTTTATTGTTTAAATAAAAAAAATATATATATATATATATATATTACTGCTAATATCCCGCGGAGAAACTTATTCATTAACGGAATATAATGAGCGTAATCGTGGAGAATCTTTCCACTCGCGCAATTCGATAAAAAGACGCAATAGTTCGATTACATTAATATGCATAGAAATTTTTTATTAATATTTGTTTTTTTTCCTAGTGTTTTACATGTGCGAAAAGGCACTTTAATAATAAATGTGTTTACGTCAAATACATGTTTAATGAACAAACATGTTATAAATTGACATCATTATCTTATCATCGATGATTCATATGTGTAGAAATTTTGAAAGTTGGCGGCATTTCGACCGTTGCGAGATGATCTCGAGGTTGTCTCAGGAGTAGCAAAGCAAGAAAAATATGAAAGCAGGAAAAACAGGAAGCCGAGTGAAACCGTCCCTGTGTGTGCAACGAATAAAATATGCTTAATGTCGTGCGTCGTAATAGGCAGTTATAAACTCTTTCATGTGTGTGTGTGTGCGTGCGAGGAGGGAAGGGGGGAGGGGAGAAGATGCGGGAAGGCACAGGAAAACCTCTTCTGAGCATAATAATTCAAGTTCAGCGGCGCACCATGGTCGCAATATGGACGATTGTTGTGTAACCGTTTCGAAAGAAAAAGACAAAAAGGAGAAGAAGAGGAAGGGAAAAAAAAAGAGAAACGACGAGCCGCTCCTCTCGCGGAGTCCAGTGTGGTCATCAATGGCGTGGAATGACGAATCGGAGAGAAAAAGCGATCTCCTGTCAAGGTCGCGTATCGAAAGGTGCCTCCGCGTTCGCCATTTCGCATTCATCTTGCCATTATCTCGCGGACGAGAGCTCGCACGGCGCGCGCTCTTACGTAGTTCACGGGCTGCATAGAGTGTGCATCGACGCGTGTATACCGCGAATGCGGCAGACAAAATCACCGTCGGGGCCCCCGAAAAGGTGAACCAGTCGAAATTCCGTGTTCCCGCGACTTTTTGCTCGCGCAACATCACGCGCGCGCTCCGCTCTTTACTGGATACGACAATAATCGCGGCGCGAGAAAGTTTCTTTGGTAAGCGACAGCTGACTGCAAGTATTCTCCTTTTCCTAAGATACGCGTGCAAATTAAATTTGTGTAGATCCGACATTATTTTGAAAAAAATATTTGCTTGTAATAATAAATAATTAAAAAAATTAATTATTATCCAAATTCATCTAGAATCCAAATGAGGAAATAGCATTTTGTTTGTTGTTCAACACCCATTATATATTTTTCTATCTTTAGCTTCATTATTATTCTGAACTGCGCGCTTCGAAATTCTCTCTATTTCGTTTTTTTAAATAATTTATTTTATCTTTATCCTTTTTGTAATATTATCTCATGCGCGATACAAATGACAGAAAATATTTTTAAGCTTACGAAATTATTATCTGTTAACTGAAGTGCAAAGTATCCGAGGGAAATCGAAAGAAGCTAATTTTTCTGAGTAAAAACCAATGTTGCAGCTGATAATTCTTAATACTTAAAGGCGTTTAACGCAAATCCTAAATGAGTTTCCTCACGTTAATTAGCGATAGCTTGCTACGGAGTCATTCGCACTATCGTCTGCGCGAATAAATTTGACTATGTCAACCGTCCGATTTCGCCAAGCTATACATCGGGAACCTAATTCGCAACGGAGATTTATGGCCAAATCATTTAACGTTCGCGACCGCAAACATTTGACGATAATTATTTGTGCCTCCGAACACATTCCATCGTCACTCTCCTTAAATTTACCGAAGCCGCGCGCGCTTCGCGGAGTTGCCCGCAACTCCGACGTGCAATTACCACGTTGCGCGGCCATGAGAAAAAAGATGAGCGAAAAGAGTATCTCTGTGCCACAAGCAATTATGAATAATTAATACCTATTTGCGCCTGCTAATTGAAGGAGAAAAATATTGCGAACGTCAAACGTTGCGTGTAACATTTCGATGGGAAAGAATTCTCGCGAATGGTAACATCCAATTGTGACACTCTCTCTCCTTTTTACTATCGCACAAATAATAGTTTACATTCAAACGCCGTGTTAATCAGCATTCTGAATCCTGCCGAGTCAGTTTCTTTTAAAAATCGTAGGATTAATTTGTCATTATTATTGATCGATTAATTTAATTGATATTTTTCACATTCAATATTTTTAATTGCCAAGTAATCGGTAACGAGATAGAAGTAGGTTATACGATCAATGCAATTAATTAATGAGATAATAAACGATTTTGTAATCTGTTGATATTATCGGAACGCGATGTAGAACACACGTCCGATAATCGACACGCATCGATATCAATCAATCGATTTGAAAAAAATAGGAATGAACCACGAAGTGAATCACGGATTCGCAAAGTAAACTGACTCGAGTTTATTTCTGCTAATGACGGGCAACCTGTCGGATCGAATACGATTATAATTAATAACCCATAAAGTTTCTATTCGCCTTCGAGGAAGATACTATTTCTTGAAATGATTATGTCCGCGAATAAACGGAATGCACGTGGAGTTTATTATCGTGTTTATCAATGACTCTATTGAGAATTCTATTATCGTGGCTTGATGTCATTAACGTGGATATCGCGAGATAACCGCAATCCAGATAAACGACGCGCCAAGTGCTAATAGGATATTCGTAAACCCCTTATCGATCGCGGTATCGTTTTCCGCGTTTCCAAAACAAACACGGCACGTAACGCTCGCTCGTGTGCAATCCTTTCTCCAGATAGTTGCAATTAAAATAATAATTAAATCTCTTAAGATTACACATGTCTTAGGCAGATTGTGTGTAGTGTCAAAAAATAAATATATATATATATATATATAGCTGAAAGTAACATTCTTTTTTATTATAGCAAAATTGTGGAAATAAAACGTGACGTTAAAAAAATATGTGCTCGCGTTAAAGATAAAGGATGAAAAAAGATGATACCCCATTTGCAGCGTGAATTACGTCGATCCATCATGAAGGAAGACAATGCACTTTTCTTCGTGCGCTTCATATTTTCGCTCTCTCGGTACTTTTCCACCTTCCACGGTTCGTCCGTTCCCTTCTCAGGCGTTTCTTCTGCGCGTATGCGATAAGATGCTTATTAAGACGCGCTATTCCCGGCATGCCAGGTCCGGATTGGTCGAACGGCGCGTTAAATGAAGTTGCAATTAAGAGAGCTAAAAGCCACGCGGCCGACTATGCCTTCTCAAGGCCTCGGGCCTCGCCAGAGCGTACTTCCGCTTCTGATTAGCTTCCTCTTTTCCCACATCGTCCTCGCCGTGCTCTCCCTTACCTCTCCGCCGCCTCTCCTCCACATCCTCCTTCTCCTCCTTCCCCCGTCCTTTCTCTTCCCTTCATCCTCTTTTCCCTCCTCTTCTCTTTTTTTTTGTCCCGTTTCCCCTTCACATCTCTCCTCGTGGTCTCTCTTTATCTCCCGGCCTGTGTGCCTTATCTCGCACCGTGGGAATCCGCGCGTGCGATTCGCGCCGCGAGGGAGGAAGTGCTCATTCCCGTTTCT